AGGAGTGGAAATGGCTGATGTCGAAGCAGAAGGTCGGAAACAAGGCTGGAATGGACTGGAGGCTCACGGAGAGGGAGAGAGCCGGCTCTGGGAAGCCAAGAGCAGGCTCCCACTCTTCAAGAGCCGGCTCTAAGATGGTATAGAGCCGGCTCCATGCATATAAGAGCCTGCTCTCAAGTTTCAAGAGCAGGCTCTCTCCTATTTTGACGTATTTTATTGTTTTCTGATTTTCTGGGCACGTTTGGATGATTTTAATTCTTTCAAACTGTGTTGTGAGGGCACTTGGGGTTCTTAATTTAAACTTCAAGTGTATTTAAACCTCTTATTGCATAGTTTATACATTTATGCTAAAGTGTTAAATAGTAGGAAAGTAGACAACTTTTCAGTACTGTTAACGGTTAGAGGAAAGTTAAATTACGTAGTTTTAATTCAGTGATTGAACAGATTATAAAAACAAGTCATGTAGATGATTTTGGGTATAAATAGGACTCTTAGGTTCAGTATTAAAGATGAACAGAAGGTTGGGAATGGCCGGAGACGAAGCTGATAGGTGAAATGGAGCAGAATTGGATAGAGGAGGCTCTAAGCTTTCAAGAGCTGGCTCTATGGTGCAAAGAGCCTGCTCTATGGTTTTGAGAGCAGGCTCCCTTGGTTAGGTTTCGTTTGGTTGCATTCTGGAGCTGTTCGGGCACTGTTTGGGCTATGTTTGGAATTCTAAATTGTTTCAGGGACTGGACTAACAATTTTAAAAGTAATTTCAAGGGATTTTAGGCTCTCTAATTGCATAAGTTAGCCTATTATAGGAATGGAATGAACTGTGTGAAATTTAGACGATTCACATACTCTTAACGGTTGGAAGAGAAGTAATTGCTCAATTTTTAAATGGGCAATTTAAGGAATTATATCATGATTTAAATCTTGTTTTAAATGCACATTAGGGTCATTTACTTGATAAATTTGATTTATGCACACTTTGGAGTATAATTGCTAAATTAATAAACTAGTTTTTGCAATTACATGAATTAGGATTTGAATTAATTGCTGCAATATTATTCATTATTCTGCAATTACTTAGACTATAGATTTGGATTTTAATTGCTAAACTATTAAACTGTTTATGCAATTACTTGGATTAAATGCTTGGATTTTAATTGCTGGATTATTAAATTGTTTATGCAATTACTTAGATTATGGATTTGGATTTTTATTGTTGGACTATTAAACTGTTTTAGCTATTACAGGGATGGTATTTTGGGATTATAGTTGATGTACTGTTTAAATTCTGTTTATCAACTATTTGGATTATGTGGATTTATTTGATGAACTGAATGAGTTGTTGCATCAATTATAGATCATATGCATTGTATGCACCGGTATGGGACGGTGGCATACGGAGGGACGGATTAGATCAAAACGCTAATTCCTACCCATTCATACATACGGAATGGATTAACTAAAATAGTTAAATCCTACATGGTTTCATGTCCTATCAACTAAAATAGTTGAACGACATATTGGATAGTTGTTATATTTCTGTACTAGAATGGATAGGGATTTAATTAAAACACTTAAATCCTAATTTTATGTCGTGTCATGGCAACGAACAGTTGAGCGGCACTACATTGGTTTGGATGGGAATTTATATATATAAATTATGGTACCGCGATCTGAGCTTGAGTCTCATTGTCGACGGTTAGGGAGCGTATATGCAGTAGGATGCATAGCTAGCTATGTTGGTTGAGGTATACCCTGTTAAGCTTAGGTAGTCATGCCCAATCAGGTGCATTTTGTATGTTGCCTTCTATTCAGGTTGAGACCCTCAGCATAGTCTAGTGAGAATCCTGTAGTGTGGATATATATTTATCTATTACAGACTATATAGATATGGTTGAGACATTTAGGATGTATCTGCGTATCGGGTCTCTATTTGGATTATAGTTAGGATAGAACTTGTTCATGGGCCTGACCCACTATTATTTTTCAGGTAACGGATGGTTCCAGGTCTTAGAGCTTGTTCGTGCTGAGTAGAGACGGCTTCTCATCCTTCCGACGACGTAGGACTTTCTTCGGGATTTAGCATTGGGGTTCTTCAGTTGTTGATTTCAGTGTTGGAGTTTATTAGGGGTCCACCAGATGGATTCCCGAATTGTATTAGAAATGGAGAATTTAGATGTATCAGAATAATTCTTTATTAATAAAATTTTATTCTAAGGTTTCAGTATTTGGATTATCATTCTAGTTTCTTTTTAGCAATTTAGTTATTCCTATTTTCTTAATTGTATTCTGTGTTCGTTTATTGCTAATTGGTTTAATATCCTCGGGTAATCAGGCGTGGGCCTGGCCAACCCGCATCCGGAAATCCGGGGGTATCATATCAGCCGATTCGGAATTTGTCAATTCTTTCTTCAGAATCGGCAGAGAAAGTGGTTTTTGAAAAACCTTTGTTAGCAATGACTCAACAACTCGGGCCTTTCTATATTAAGGTATGGGTAGAAGGTCAACCTATTAATCGAGTCTTGGTAGACAATGGCTCGGTTCTGAATGTTATTCCAGCAAATACATTAAAGAAACTCGGCAAGAGTATGGAAGATGTATTCCTACTGACGTAGCAATTTGTGGTTTCAACGAAGGATCTACTAGCACTAAAGGAATCCTTCCTTTAGAAGTAGAAGTTGGAGGTAGGACATCTTTTGCGGCATTCTTTATTATTGAATCCACGGCTTCCTATAATTTATTATTAGGCCATGATTGGATTCATCCAAATATGTGTATTCCATCATCGTTACATCAGATGCTAATTTTTTGGGATGGAGAAAAGGTAAAGATAGTGAATGTTGATGACAAGCCATTTGTGGCAAAAATATACTCAGCAGATGCTATTTTGTATGATGAAGAATGTGTTCCTATTTGATTTATGGGGACAGGAGACAATGGAAGACCAACATTGGCAACCATAAGAAGAAGTCTTGCCAATCGTGAAATTGGTGAGTTGTAGCAGGAGAATTCTATGCCGAAGGTAGAGATCCCTCGGCTTGCTATAATTGAAGAAGTTGTTGATGGAAGCGAAACTTGAAAGGGAAGCTGCTTGGCAGCAGGCCTTTAGGGCCACTTGCATTAGGCTACAAGCATATATAGCCGAGAAACGGCTAGAAAAAGAAGTAATAATAGAGCCAGGACCATTGGTTAATCTTACTGAGATTGATCGATGCAATAATGAAAAGTTAGATGCAATTCAGTTGGAAGACTTGGAATTGGCACCAGCTAGGCTCGATGATCTTAAAGCAGAAACTCAGGATCCATTAAAGGAGGTGAATTTAGGCACTGACGCAGAGCCGAGACCAACTTATATCAGTGCACTGTTAGAACTAGAATTATAAGCCGAGGTTATCGGCATGTTAAAGGAATACAGTGACTGTTTTGCTTGGAATTATGAGGAGATGCCGGGTTTATCCAGAGATTTGGTGAAACATCAGTTGCCCATTAAAGATGGTTACAAGCCATATAAACAGCCACCTCGTCGAATGTCTCAAAAGGTGGTAGACAAAGTCAAGGTGGAAATTGAACGATTGTTGGATGCTGGCTTTATTTGAACTACAAGGTATGTTGAATGGTTATCAAATATAGTCCTTGTTATCAAAAAGAATGAAAAATTACGTATATGTGTCGATTTCTGAAAAATAAACTTGGCAATCCCAAAAGATGAGTATCTAATGCCGATAGCCGATCAACTGATTGATGCGGCTGCAAAACACGAAGTTATGTCTTTTATGGATAGACACTTAGGCTATAATCAGATTTATATAGCCGAGGAGGATATCCCAAAGATAGCTTTTAGATGTCCAGGATCGATTGGAACTTTTGAATGGGTAGTAATGCCTTTTCGGATAAAGAATGCCGGTGTTACATATCAGTGAGTTATGAATTCTATTTTTCATGATATGCTCAGCAAGTTTATGAAAGTGTATATTGATGATGTAGTGGTAAAATTAGCAACAAAAAAGGAGCAATTGGTTCATCTTAAAGCATCCTTTGAGAGAATGAGGGCTCATAAGCTAAAAATGAACCCAATAAAGTATGCTTTTGGAGTATCAGCAGGAAACTTCTTGGGTTTTTTTGGACACCAGAGGGGAATAGAGATCGACAAGAATAAAGCTATGGCAATTATTGATGCCAGTGCGCCGAGAAGCAAGAAGTAATTGCAGAGATTACTTGGTCAGGTGAACTATCTCAGGCGATTTATTACTAATACAGCTGGTAAGTTACATGTGTTTTCCCCGCTACTCAAGCTGAAGCCGATGGAAGAATTCAAATGGGATGATACACATCAAATGGCATTTGACTAGATTAAGAAATACTTATCGACCCCTCCTACCATGATGCCGCCAAAGAAGAAATAGCCGATGAAGTTATATTTATCGGCTGCTGAAGAATCCGTTGGAGCTATGCTATCACAAGAGAATGAAGCGGGAAGTGAACAAGCAATATATTATCTCAGCCGAGTTTTAACTCCAGTCGAGTGTAGATATAAAAATTATGTTTGGCTTTGTATTTTGCAGCAATGAAATTAAGAGTCTATATATTGCTTGTTTTGGTTTATATTGTTTGTCAAAAAGATCTTATAAAATATATGCTATCAAAGCCATTAATTACAGGGCAGATCGGCAAGTGGGCGCTGGCACTAATGGAGTTAAACTTTACATATGTTCCACAAAAGGTGATTAAGGGGAGAGCATTGGCAGATTTTCTTACCAATCATCCCTCGCCTGAAATTGAATCACAAGTATTTGATAAGCTTGACTCGGCAACCATATTCATGACCCCTTGGACTTTAATGTTCGATGGGTTAAGTACCAGTGAAAGCTCAAGAGTTGGCATCGTCATAATATCCCCAACAGGGAATCAAATTTCATTTTCCTTCTTTTTGGATTTCAAGTGTTCAAATAATCAAGCCGAGTATGAAGCATTAATTATCGGCTTAGAAATCCTGCTAGAAATAGCAGTCAGCGACGTCCACATTGTGGGAGATTCAAGTTTGGTGATTCAAGTACGTCAAGTTGAAAAGGAGGAACCCAATTGGAGCTCATGCTGAAGAGCAGAGAGTTTGACCACGTATACAATTTCTTCAATTTTGACAGTTTGGCAAAACTGGCTTCGGAAACAATGCCTGCTAAGGAATTGTCTGCTACATTTAGTTCCTCTAGATTTGAGAGGAACCCCATAGTGTTTGGCAAAGTGCCATTCAATTTATTATAAGAAAGATACAAGAATCTCAAGGACGATAAGTTTCCAATAGATGCTGGAATGGGACTAAACAATTTATTAGCAGAAAGATCTAATAATCTCAAGGACGATAAGTTTCCAATAGATGCTGGAATGGGACCATACAATGAATTCCCAGAAAGTGAGAGAAATTCAAGATGTTTCAGTTGCCCAAGATCGTCTGGGATTTGGCCATATAGGGAATTATAAGATAGATCAAGAGACATAAGGCTACGAGTGTGATTAATCAACAGTATCTTCCAATTGAAATGGTTGTACGAAAGATCAAGGACTTTAAGAGACGTGAAATTAACAAAAGCAAGAGGTGGAATCATTCTCTCAAGTTGGCAGCTGAACAAATGTAGTTGTGAAAGGGAAGGAAGCATGCTCACCTCTTGAACCCAATTGATTGCTCTGTGAAGGTCGATCCCACTCATGTCAAGGCATTCCAAGGAATGAAGACCAGCAATCCAACTAAGGTCATCAACAATAAGCTGATAATTATAGGATAGATCAAGATAACGAAGGCTCGAGAGGTTTCCAAGTGCATGAGGAATCAGCCCTTCGATTCCGTACATGGACAAATCTAGCACTGAAAGGAAAAGAAGCTTGCTAATGGATTGATGCCAAGTAGCTGCCTTGTGAAGGTCGATCCAACTCATGCCAAGGTACTCCAAGGAATGAAGACGAGCAATCCAACTAAGATCGTCAACATAAAGTTGATTATTATAGTTTATATCGAGAACACGAAGGCTCGAGAGGTTCCCAAGCTGATGAGGAATCAACCCCTCAAAAAGCACATGAGAGAGGTTCAGATATCTCAAACTTGGCATGGAACCGAAGAAACTTGGAATAGTAGAACCACTGAAATTGTTGAAGCTCAAGTCCAAGTAACTCAGAGATTCTAATTCCACCAAAGAGGGACTAATCTTCCCACCCAACTGCTGGGTCTCATCATACCCCGGGTAGTAATTGTAGTAATTGTATGGATTGGAGAGGTGAAGGTGGATGACTCGACCAGTAACATTGTTGCACCGGACTCCAATCCAAGTACAACAATCTTGCTCTACAGACCATGAGGATAGCCGGTTTGAAGGGTCCCAACTGATACTTTGTTTGAAGCTTAGAAGTGCTCTTTTCTCCTTTTCACTGCAAACACCTTCATCTGGTTTAATCCTATCACATAATAACAATAGCCAAAGCAAGAGAAGCACAATGCGGGTACTCATCATCATCATCATCTCTCTGATTACAAATTAATGAAAGCGAAGTAGCTGGTGATCAATTAACAAGCAAGTTCAAATAACAAGTAGCAAAAACTCAATCATTTATGCATAATTGCTCTAAGCCTACTATTCATTAGTCAGGACCACTATAGAGGACAATTCCCTCTCTACTTTTTTTTCCTTTTTTAAAAAGGAAAAGGAAAAGGAAAAAAGAAAAAAGAAGAAAAAGAAAAAGTCTTGTTCAAAAAGAAAAAGATAAGGATAAGGAGAAGTCCTTTCAGAATCTTCTACCACAGGACGTGCATCCCACAGTTATCGATCATGGTCAATCTTGGTTTTTTTTTGCAACTACGATTTTACTAAAAACCTCTCAATTTTATAAAAAATCACTTTATTAAAAGTGATCATTTTCAAATTTCTACATTCTAAGTTACGCCCTCGTGCCGGCAAAGTCCCAATCTCCATTTTCAAGTACAAAGCACGATTTTACTAGAAACCCTTAAGTTCAATATCTCCTCTACATACATTCTAAGTCCACACCATCATGCCGGTGAAATCTCAGTTTCCATTTTCAATTCAAGACATGGTTTTACAAAAAAAAAAAAAAAAAAAAAAAAAACCTTCCATTTTCAAATTCTACTCTATATTTTACATCTTCAAAACCCAATTTATTAAAAGTCGTTATTTTCTAATCTCTACATTTCAAGTCCACTGCCATACCGGTAAACTCTCGATTTCAAAACTGCATTTTAAAGTTCAAAGCACGACTTTACTAGAAACTCTCAATTTCAAAACTACAGTTTCAAGTTCAAAGCACGATTTTACTAGAAACCCTCCATCTCAATCTCTACTTTTACATTTTACATCTCTAAAAAAATTATTTTACTAAAAGTGGTCAGTGTCAAATCTCTACATTCTAAGTTCACACCGTCATGTTGGCAAAATCTCAATTTCCATTTTCAGATACATTTTTAAGTTGAAAGTGCGATTTTACTTTAAAACCCTCTATTCCAATCTCCACTCTACATTTTACATCTCGAAAACCTACTTTATTAAAAGTGGCATTTTTAAATCTGTACAATTTAATAAGTCCGCGTTGTCATGTGGACAAAATCTCAATTTCTATTTTCAAGGTCCGTTTTCAATTCAAGAAATGGCTTTACTGAAAAACCTTCCATTTTCAATTTCCACACTATATTTTAAATCTTCAAAACCCACTTTACTAAAAGTTGTTATTTTCTAATCTCCACATTTCAATACATGGCGCCATGCCGGCAAAAACTGAAGGTACATTTACTATTCAAGACACGGTTTTACAAAATATATAGGGATAATTCCATAAAAAGGGGTTTTGGGAGTCAAAAGACAAAAGAATTGAGTCAAAATCAAGTTTTCCAAATTAATGGAATTTGATGTAAGTCTGATGTGGATATGGAAAATTACTATATATTATCTTTTTATTATCATAATAACTTTCTATTATTGTTATGAAATTATGCTACTAACCCTTTCAAATCTAGAGAGAGAAGAGAAACACATCTATGTCAATCCTCTCAAACTCTCCTTCTCTACAGCTCCTCTTTCCTCAAACTCCCGAATCACACCGTCAAAATCACTATAAAAAAAAAATAAAGTCAAAATCCACTCTTCTATTCATTTTCTTTATAAATATCAGTTCTCAATGTTTTCCTTTCTAACTTTGATTTCTTCCTCTATTTTACTTATTTATTTTTAATTTCCTTTCTAAGTTCTCAATGTAATTTCTTTCTAACTTTGATTTTCCCCTCTCTTTATTTCTATTTTATATATTTATTTTAATGTAATTTTTTTATTAAAATAATGAAGTTTCATAATTATTAAAATAAATTTACTAAACAAATAAAATTGCCATTTAAACCCACACTAATAAATATTATAGTATTTGATTATCTCTATTCTCTCTCACTACCACTGCCAAATTCAAGATCTTCACAGTATATAGATATATAAAAATAAATAAGTTAAATAGAGGGGGAAATCAAAGTTAGAAAGGATATTACATTGAGAACTGATGATTTATAAATAAAATGAATAGAAAAGTGAATTTTGACTTCATTCTTTTTACAGTGATTTTGACAATGTGTTTCGGGAGTTTGATGAAAGAGGAGTTGCCATATAAGGAGAGTTTGAGAGGATTAGCATAAATCTTCTCTCTAGATATGAGAGGGGTAGTAACATAATTTCATAACAATAATAGAAGGATATTTTGGGAATAAAAAGATGATATATAGTAATTTTTCATGTCCACATCAGACTATCATAAAATTCCATTAATTTGGAAAACTAGATTTTGACTTCATTCTTTTGTCTTTTGACCCTCAAAACTCCATTTTTATAGAATTATATATAAAAAATCTTCCATTTCAATCTTAACATTTCCATACACATCTCTTTAAGCAGTTTGAACAGTAAGGTTTGAACAGTGTATAACCTGATTTCTTACACGGTAAGTAGTGTAATGTTTTGCATTTTTGGCATTTTCCTTATTTTCTTATTTATTTTATTTCGAATGTCGCGTGTATTCCAAGTGTTATTTAGTACATATTTTTGAGTTTTGAACTCTTAGAAATGCATTACAGGTCATTTTGTCATTTTTGAATTTTCAGTCCGAGGTCCTGTGTGGCCCTAAGGCCAGATTTTCGTGCTAGCTCGGAAACTATTTTGATATTCTTTTCATCCACTTATATATTGTAATACCCCTCGTTTTTAGTGGATATTAAAATGATTTATTTAATTAATTTTATTTACATTTTAATTGATTATGTGGTTATATGTTTATGTGATTAAATGATTTAATTGTTTTATGTGAATTATGTGATTTATTTGTGTGTATTTCTTTGATGTGATTTAATTTGTTTGTAATTATGTGTTAGCTTACATGTTTAATTGTTTATGTTATTTTACTTTATTTTTATTTAAAGGAATGGATTTGGGTTAGTAATAATGGACTAACCAAATGGGTATCATAAACTACTTAAATAGAAAGCCTGAACGGGTAATGATTATAACTCATAAATGTATTTTAGATATATATATATATATATATATATATATATATATATATATATATATATATATATATATATGTATTACTAAAAAATGATCACGTAAATAAAAATCTACATTGAATAAATAATTGGTATTTTATATATTCTTTTATCTCAAAATAAATAAAATTGACTTTAATTTTGAATCTTCCAAAACAAAAAATGAAAGAATAAAAAGATTGACTAACTAATAATATTTTTTAATCAGAGTGATTCCTTTTAGAACAAAAATCATTTTTAATTAGTATTTAATTTTTTCTGTTGATTTTTTTTTTTTTTAATTGATACTTACATACACATGCCTCCACCGAGGCTCGAACCCCTGACCTCCCTTTAGGAAGTAGAAGCCTGGTATCGCTGGCCATTAGGCTATTGATATCTTCAGTTGAATTTTACCGAATGGTGATGCGACTTTTTATAATTACTCTGTTTATATTTATGTTAATCTTGTTATTTACTTACTAATAATTTAGTTTCAATTATTGTATTGAATATGTTGGACAACTGATATTTTATTATTTTATCCGACATGTGTGTCTTTTGTGAAAGGTTGTGTCATTTATATGAACGTTTGTGTCCTTCAATAATTGATGTGTTAATTCGGAATAAACTTATTAATAACAATAATGTAATTTAAAATCCTCTTTAATTGTTTTTATTTTAACTTATTTAAGTTCATATCCTTCAATAATTGATGTGTTATTTCGGAATAAACTTATTAATAACAATAATGTAATTTAAAAATCTCTTTAATTGTTTTTATTTTAACTTATTTAAGTTAATATTAAATTAATAAAATTGTATACAAATAGAAAATAATTTAATTAGAATTAATTTAGATTAACGGAATAGATGTTAATACAAATTTATCTTTTGAGTGTTAACTATTAATACAAAGAATAAAAAAAAGTCACATAACTATTAATATGATTTATATGAGGGTCTTAATTATCTTTCTATCTGACTTTTAAAAGGTGTGTTTGTCGTTAAGATTGTAACTCATTAAGTAGTTTAGTTCTTCTTTTATAAGTTACGTAAACAATAAATAATAAACAACATAAAAAATAAAACTTTGAAGTGATAAAGAGAGTCGGTATATGATTATTGATACATGAGAAATAAAAAAATACATAGAAAATTTTCTTTTAAAAACAAAAAATCATGTTATATTTATTAATATATTGCAAAAAAATCTTAAAAAATGATCCAAGAGAATAAACTCTATGAAATCACAAAGTCCTAAAAAAATTAAAAGAATAGTTCTAACCATTTATTTCAATTTGCATACAAGTCTTTCGAAAGAGAAAATTTTATTTCACAGAGATGGTAAGAGATGATGGGTGATAGGGATGGATTCATATACACATTTTATTATGTTAAGAAAATAGTTTATCGTGAAAGAAAACAAAAATGAATTCTCACCGAACATGTATTTCAATTTGGATAAAACTATTTGTATATAGGAAAATATAATATAAAAAATATACGTTAATAATAATGACAACTTTTCACAACAATCGTGACAACTCTTTTGAGATAACTCTTCAAAAAATATTATGTTAAGATAACTTTATATTATATATATATATATAATGAATTTGCAAATTCTCTACCAAACACAATTAATCAAGAACATTTATTTTACATTACATATAATAAAACATAATATAGGTTACATAAAAAATAAATAAATAAAGTCTTGATGATTCTACTTTGTTTAAGACCATGGAGAATCTTCCTTTGATGGATCCTTCTCTTCACTAACTTATGTGGATTGTCTCTAGTAACTCAGTCAACCTTTGTATTTCTTGTAAAATATTTTGAAACCAATATCAATTTTATAATTTAACTCGGACAATATCCTTTCCCACAAATAAGATGGTAGTGAAGTAGAGCTACATGTTGTAGGATTGTCCCAAAGTAGTAGTCTTTTTTTGGACGTACTTCTTTTGGTGTCATATGTACTTTCTTACCATTTTCTTAAGGTTCCATCTACAGTGTCAAACATTAATTTGTTAGAAACATAATATAGATCATATTTATTTTATTTTATTTGACAAGAATAAATTACTTCTGGATTTTGAAATACAAAAAATAAATAAATAAAATAAAATATTTAAATATGAATTGACACATCTCTAAATTTGAGCCAAAATCAATAGTCAACCATATAGATTTAGGTTTACCATATATGGTTTTAGTTTACTTGCTGTCCATATATGTTGTCTCCTATATAAATCCTATATAAACCCCTATATATTCTTATACCTATATAAATTCCTATTTATTTTTATATTATTTACATCAATACAATATACAATATGTCTCTCTCATTCTTATATTTAAGAGTGTTCTTGTAATAGCAACTTTTTGGATATTTTCCTTATTTAGTGTGTTTTCGACTTCTTCCTCAAAAAATGATGGAGATGAAGATCAACAAACAATGCGCCGCAAATCTTGCAAGACTCGATAAAATATCCAGGTTAAAGGTAATACTTGACTTAGATTTGATCATCAAATGGCTCAGACTTATGTTTTGAATAATTCCAACTTTTCTCAATGATTTTCAAAATTGGAGATTTTCATAAAACATTGAGCATCGATTGAAAAGCCGATCCTTCAAGGGAACTTCAGATTCTCTCGATTGAAGACTGGATTAATCGAAGCAAAAGATCCGAAATGATGAGAATTCGTGCTGGTGTAATGAACCCTGGTTCTGCTTAGAAAAGATTATATCGATTTACTTTTTGTTTTGCCCCATTTTTTAAAACTTTTGTTAGTAATCAGGGTTCAACTTCGATCCTACGTGATTGTAACTTGGTCAAATTAAATTAACATCTATAACCAAGTAGTGCTTTCGTATAGTTAAACTTCTGTAAAATTTATTTGAATAATGAACTTATTTGAACAATAATTACTTTTAATCACTTAAAAAGTCTGTCTCCTGTAATGAATTGTACTGTTGTGAGATCGAATGTTGAGATTGAATGTATCTCTGTTCCGTTAATGGTGGCTGAATTTAAATGCTCATCCGAATGAATTATCGTTCATACTTTTCCCCTCCTGTGGTATATTTTTTGAAAAGGTTTTTTAATAATGCTGTTCCACAGTCCAGGGCAAGATTGGGAGCATAGAATGGTATTCCAGTTCTTAACTCCGAAACAGTTGAATGAAGTTCATCATTTACTTTACTATATGCCTTTTACAGAAGAAGATTAGAACTAACAAGTGCAGTCTCCAGTGGTCCAGACTAATCACAACTCAGTACACAACTATACGTGTCAAGTTTTTTCAGATTTTTACTTACGTGTCATGTTGTAATTAACAAGGACCATATAATAATTTCTCATGCATCTCCTCCATAACTGTTTCAAAATAGCAACTTTCTTTGACATATTCTGATGTGTGTGTGTGTCTATATATATATATATATATATATATATATATATATATTTTTGTTTGCCGGAGGGAAGCAAAATGTAAACTAACACTTCCTTCATAAGGTTTATTGCACATACAATAAAAAACTCAGAAATGTTACTGTTGGAGGAGAAATTCACGCGGTCCGATACGACACCGTTTTCCTGCAAAGAAGAGAATAGAAGATCGATGAATCTTGACGGCACCGGTGTGGTGCCTGTCAAGAGCTTTCTGACGATCAAGTCAGTCATCGGAGGTTTGTCATACCTTTATTGATTGGTAGGATCTCATTCTTATAGTCGCTCTCCCTCAATTCATTTGCGGGATCAGAAGAGATCTGCTTGTGTGAGATCAGAGGAGATCCGTTTGTTGCCAGATTTGTCGGGAATATGATTTACCTCTTTGACTTCCTCAAATTGTGCCAAAGTTATCCTTATCCTATTGAATCATGTCATCTTTCATTATCCTTAATAATGAAATATTATCATTCTTATCCAATGGAAATATTATCGTTCAAAAGTCGAAAAAGTCTGACGATTAGTCAACACTTAGTTGCCTCTATCGTTAGATCAAGGTAGGTTAGGTTTATTTTTCCCTATCAGTTGCCCCATTCCCAAGCTTGCTCATCTAGCTTTGGGAATGTGAAATTTTTATTTTTATTTTTTTTTTTTTTTTTTGCCCTTAGCACTGTTCTCTCGGGAATAGTGCCGCGGGTACTGTTCACTTGAACCGTAATTTTTTTTATTTATTATTATTTATTATTATTTTTTTTTTGCATTCCCTTGGATAATCTTCTCTGGGGTACTCTTCCCTTGGGTAAGGTTTTTTTTTTTTTTGATACCCTTGGGCACTCTTCCATTGGATAATCTTCCCTTGGATACTATTCCCAATGTGGAATTAATACAGATATCAAATCAAGGTTCTGTTTTAGAAGGGCATGAATTCAAACCCATGGTCAATAACTCTTTAGTGATGTAAAACTGGATTTTTCTTTTAAAAATTCAATGTACTAGTTATAAACTTTGTGGGTTTCAGTCAGCCCATCCCTTTGGCAAGAAAATAAATTTTACGAGCTTCACTCAGCTCGTCACTCGTTTAATAAGGGAATGAGCTTCACTCAGCTCGTCGCTTTAGTAAGAGAATTAAATTTTATGAGTTTCACTCAACTGATCCCTTTAGTAAGAAAATTAGGTTTTACGAGTTTTACTCAGCTCGTCCATTTAGTAAGGGAATTAGATTATCGGGAATGCCGAGTCCTATTAGCTAAGCATGCATGATGATTACTTTCTTGCCCATTTTAATAAAGGAAGTAGATTTGCTCGAGCGTTGTGAGCTCGCCCTTTAATAAGGGAGTAGTTAACCCCTCGTCTCTTTACCGAGGGAAGAAGATGAAGTTGACCCTTCGTTCTTTTATGGGAGAAAGAGGTGTAGTCTGAAGGAGGGTGACCCTTTTAATACGAGAGGTAGTCGTCTCGTCTCTCTAGTAAATGAAAGAAGCTTCAATTATCTCACCCTTCTGTGTAAAGGGAGTAGTCGGATTCTTGTCCCTTTAATGAGGGAAGAATGTGTTGTTGGCCCTTGATCCCTTTAATGAGAAAACCTTTAATAAGGTGTAGTCGGCCTTTTGTCCTTTTAATAAGGGAAGTATTACCACATAGGTAGGTAACTGAAAACGTAATATTTATTGCTTAAAAACTAAGGGTCATCCATCTCATTGGTGATGGTGACTTTATTGGAAAACAAAATTACATGTGAAGGAGCTACTCTCCAAAAATTGTTAGTCGGTATACTTATTTAAGTCCTTCTCACGATATGTCCTATCGCTTTGGCTGAAGAATGATCTCTTATAGTTGGTATCATTTTCATCCCTGGCGAGAGGAGCTGACCTCTTTTTGTCCTTTCCTTCCTTTCCCTTTTGTGCATTCATGGCGTCTTCAACGTTCATGTGTTTCTGCGCTCTGATCAACAACTCTGCCATGCTGGTGGGAGGTTCTTTTGATAAGGAGAACAAGAATCTGGAGGTTTGGAGTCCTTCCATGAAAGCGGTCAAAGCCACCATGTCGCCACCTCTTCTACCTACAACATCTCTGTGTTGAATCGGGTGATGTATTCCAGGATCGACTCTCCCTTTTATTGCTTCACGGTAAGCAGGTAGGTGGCCGGCCTCCTATGCCTCTGACCTGCAATGAAGTGACTTACAAATTGCTTACTCAGTTCTTCGAAGGTGTTGATGGTTCTTGGCTTCAGCTTGTTGAACCAAACTCTTGCCGATCCCTTAAGTGTAATGGAAAAAGCTCGGCACATGATTTCATCTGGCACAACGTGTAAATGCATAAGAGCTTGAAAGGTCTCCAGGTGATCGAGGGGATCTTTGGTCCCATCGAAGCTTTCGAACGAGGGCATCCTAAACTTGCTAGGCAGGGGGCATTTCATAACGGCGGGGCTGAACGGCAAGTTGGTCCTCTGCACCGGGTCATCTATGGCGGCAGGACCTTTCCTTTTTATAACCTGCATTACATCTTCCATTTTCGCCTTGAGATCCTTGATCTATAGGTTGAAATAGGTAACTTTCTCTGTCTTTTCCTTAACACAAAAGGTTGTGCTTGTTTGAGGTTGGGGATTCCGTGGAGGCGGGGAAGGAGGTTCTCTGTGTCGGTTTCCGACTTGGCTTTGTTCTGCCTCAAACTTGTGAAGAGGATTGTTTTCTCGGTCCTCCTCGTGTTCTCCCCCATCATTCAGATTAGGAGGATATGGGTTGGACAATTCCTGTTGAGGTGGTGGTCCCGCTAGGATAAGATGTTGCAGGATCTTTGCATTTTGCTGAATCAACTGGTCCATACCCTGATTTAGAGTTTGGACCTGAAGTTCTAACGTTGTAAGCCATTCCTGGTCATTCGGGACGTTTGGGTGTTCACCCGACCCTTTTCTTTGACTGGATCCTTGCAATGATGTTTCTTTTCCAGTTACCATACCGGACCTCAAGTGCATATACCCAATTGAATAATTTATGGATTTAAGGGAATCATCGTTTCCCACAGACAGCGCCAACTGTTGGGGGAGAAATCCACGCGGTCCGATACGACACCGTTTTCCTGCAAAGAAGATAGTAAAAGATCGATGAATCTTGACGGCAACGGTGTGGTACCTGCCAAGAGCTCTCCGACGATCAAGTCAGTCACCGGAGGTCCAAAAGAAAGGTAAGGATTTAATAATAGTTTTTTGTCATACCATTATTGACTGGTAGGATATCATTCTTATAGTCGCTCTCCCTCATTTCATTTGCTGGATCAGAGGAAATCTGCTTGTGCGAGATCAGAGGTGATCCGTTTGTTGCCAGATTTGTCGGGGATATGATTTACCCCTTTGACTTCCTCAAATTACGTCAAGGTTATCCTTACCCTGTTGAACTACGTCATCTTTCATTATCCTTGATAATGAAATATTATCATTCTTATCCAATGGAAATATCATCGTTCGAAAGTCGAAGAGGTCTGGCGACTGGTCAATACTTAGTTGCCTCTATCGTTAGGTTAAGGTTGGTTAGGTTTATTTTTCCCTATCAGTTACAATCAATTGAAGTTAGAAAGAAAGTTATATTAAAGCTATATATATCACCAAGAGCTATCGTGAAAGCTATATATATCACCAAGAACTATAGTAAAAGATAAATGGTTGAAGTCTCTTCATACTACGTCAGAGATATAAACACAATACTTCCGTCCTTCTTAATTAGGGATGGCAATATCCTCCAACCCGCTGGGTTTCCACCCCGCTCCGCTCCTAATGGGGCAGATTTGGTAGCTCCATAAATGGGTTTGGGACGGATATGGTAAAAGAATTGAAAACCCGAAGCTGGTTTGGGGCGGGGGCGGATTTAGTGATGCCCCCACCCCACCCCCGCCCCCGCCCCCGCCCCCGCCCCCGCCCCGACCCCAATTATATATATATATATATATATATATAAAGTATATATTTAATTTTAAGTGTCCATTAATATATTTTGACTAAATATTCGCTAGAATTACTACTTACTAAAATTCTACAATTGTGCACGTGATTCAATCTTCAAAGATTCAAGATCTTAGTATTCTATCCCAAGTCCAGAAATTAATTCAACAGTTTCAACTTTACCGCAATTAAACGGAGTATGCGGGGTGGAGTTGGTATTTTGTCTACCAGAGTAGGGGCGGGGATGGTATACCAATTGTAAACCCGTCTCGGAGTTGGAGCGGAGTTGGTATAACGAATTTTTTAATGGGGCGGAGTAGGGTTTAGCCAACTCCATCCCAACTCCGCCCCATTGCCATCCCTATTCTTAATTAGGGGTGCAACTTGGGTTAGGCAACCCGAGCCCAATCTAATTTTTTACGGGCTTTGACAATCATTTGTACAAGTAGGGTTGGATTTGTGTTAAAATATCTCAACCCAATTTTAATTAGAATTGGGCTTGAATTGAGATGCTAGCAACTCGAACCCAAACCGAACCTGAATTCTAATAATATTTATATATATTTTTGATATTAAATATATTATATATAATACTCGTATTATGATCAAAAAAAAAAATTTCAGCTTCTTTTTTTAAATTTTAATTTATTGTATGTCAACATTTAGGGTAATTAATTTTTAAGAATTTTTTTTTTTTTTTTGTAATTTATTAAAAATTTGAAATATGTTTCATTTTTTGTTTAGAGTAATATAATATAAAACTAATTCAAGGTTACATTAAATTTTCAGCATGGCAATTGGGCATATAAGTAATCGGAATTAACTCAATTTTTTAAGCTGAAATTTAAGTCCAAATTATAAACTCAAGTTTAAAAGTATAAGAATGAGTTACACTTGAATTAAGTAGTTAAGGTTAAAAATATATTGATTAAACATTTCATATATAAGATTGGGTTCAAATTGTACCTCAACAAGCTCAACCCCCCGGAGTTGCAACCCTCCCCTGGTCTTATCGCCTGCCTTGCCTCTTTGCTGACTTGACTTGCTTCTTTTAATAAATATGGATATAATTTCATTAGTTTGGTGGTTTCCGTCATTCACGTGCCGGAAACAGACAAATGAAAAAAAATAATGGAGTTTTTGTGGGTTGTGTATGCCATTCAAGTGGAAAATGGACCCCAATTACAAAATTGTCAACTTTACTCCTCCACTTGCAACAGACAGCTGGAAACTTGGTAACTTGCGTTCATGCACCTGACTGATGACCATATGCAAATTATTACCTTCCCATCTCTCTTTTCTTTTCTTCCAAACACTCTTCATGGAATTTTTGTGGGTTTTGTACGCCATTCATGTGGAAAATGGACCCCCCCATTACAAAATTTTCAACTTTACTCCTCCACTTGCAACAAACAGCTGCAAACTTGGTAACTTGCGTTCACGCACCTGACCATATGCAAAAAAAACTTTGCTCCTCTTTCTTTTCTCTTCTCTTCTTCGAAACACTCTCCCCCTTTTCTTGAAGTGCTGTAATAGTGCTTAGCCTCTCCACAGCAATGGTGGACTTTGTGAGCCCGATCTTGGATCTCACATGTCGATTATGCGATTGCATCGGAAACAATACAAACTCCATTCGTCATCTCCAAGACAATCTCAACTCTCTGAGAACCGAAATGGAAAAACTGACGGAGCAAAAAAACGATGTGAAGACGAGAGTTGAAACCACCGAGAGCCAACAAACGCAACCAACCCAACAAGTCAATGGCTGGCTTCGAAGAGTAGAAGAATTGGAGAGGGAAGTGGACATTGTTTTACAACAGGGTGATGAAGAGATCCAGAAGAAGTGTCTCAAACTTTGTCCCAGAAACTGCTGGTCTACGCATAAACTCGGGAAGAAAGTATCTAAAAAGCTACAAGCTGTGGCTGATCTGATGAACGAAGGAAATTTCAGCAATGTGGTTGTACCATTGCCCCGGGCTCGTGCTGAAGAAATGCCTCTTGAGATGACTGTGGGATTGGATTCGAATGTCAACAAGGTCTTGAGCTTCCTTAGAGATGATGGCGTGGGAATTGTCGGCATATACGGAATGGGGGGTGTTGGAAAGACAACCCTCTTGAAGAAACTCAACAATGAGCTTGCGACTCGGTTGAGTGGTGAGTTCGATGAGGTGATATGGGTTGTGGTGTCCAAAGATCTAACTGTTGAAAGGGTTCAAGATAAAATTGGGAAGAAGCTTGGATTCACAGATTACATATGGATGGATAAAAGTCGAGAGGAGAAAGCCGCAGACATATTTAGGGTTTTGAAAAGGAAGAAATTTGTGCTACTGTTGGATGACATATGGGAGCGACTTGATCTTCTTGAAGTGGGGGTTCCGCCTCCGGGTAATCAGAATAAGACTAAGGTAGTGTTCACGGCCCGATCTGAGCAAGTGTGTGGGCTTATGGAAGTGCAAACGAAGATTAAAGTTGAATGCCTGAAGTGGCAAAAAGCTTGGGATTTGTTTCAAAGCAAGGTGGGAGAAGAGACGCTCAATTCTGATTCTGAAATACGGAAGCTAGCGCAAGTTGTTTGCAAAGAATGCGCTGGTTTGCCACTGGCGCTGATTACAATTGGACGAGCCATGTCTAGCAAGAAAACTCTCCAAGAATGGAATTATGCAATAGGCTTGTTGAAGAAGTCAACTTCTGAATTTTCAGGTATGGGAAACAATGTGTTTCCTCTTTTGAAGTTCAGTTACGATAGCTTATCTGATGAAAAAACTAGGAATTGCTTCCTGTATTGTTCTTTGCATCCCGAAGATATGGATATTCCAATACACCATATCATAACTATGTGGATGGGCGAGGGATTTTTTGATGAATGTGATCATATCGACGAGGTTTTCCCCCTGGGCCACGATATTATTGGCAGGTTGAAGCTTGCATGTTTGTTGGAAAGCTCTCAATATGGTCGAGATTATTCCAAAATGCATGACGTAATTCGGGACATGGCATTGTGGATACTTTCGGAGAGTGGGAAGAAGTATTTGGTGCAAGTAGGTCTTCAGCTACTCGTAGCACCTGCTCTTTCTAAATGGGAGGAGGCTGAAAGAATATCGGTGATGCAAAATTCTATTGAAGAATTAAGTGGAACTCCGAGATGCCCCAATCTCTTGTCTTTAAATCTTCGCATCAATGCTTTGAGAACCATTTCCGATAGCTTCTTCCAATTTATGCCTACTCTCAAAGTTTTAGACTTGTCAGATAACAGAGATTTAACAAACCTACCAGCAAGCTTTTTCGGGTTGCTTTCTTTGCAGTATCTTGATCTCTCATCAACGGGCATAAGAGAATTGCCAATCGAGTTTAAGTCGTTGGCAAAGTTAAAGTATTTGCATCTGAATTTTATGAGAAAACTTGATATTATCCCGCCACGAGTCATATCAAGTCTTTTCATGCTGCAAATGTTGAAGATGCACGACACCGGTGTTTTAGAAGGAATTGATGAAGGTAGCATTCTCATTGGTGGGAATGAATTGTTATTGGATGAGTTAGAATGCTTGAATCACTTGCAATTTTTAACTTTGACAGTGAAAAGTGAGGCTGCACTCCAAAAATTGTTAAGTTCACACAAGTTGAGATGTTGCACATTTTATCTAGGCATCGAACAATGCAGAGGCTCGAGTTCACTGCAACTGTCTTCTTTACAGAAGAACTTAAAGAGATTAGAAGGGCTTGATATTAGAAATTGTGATGATTTAGAGGATTTGTCAATGGATTGGATGAGCTCGGAGGAAAGAGGGAGAGCTCAAGTACCTCACAAATACAATCTGTGGGATATTAACAGTATAATAGATGGAAACAGAAGCTTTCGTAACCTGAAGGAAGTCTTGATAGTGAACTGCACAGTTTTGAAGGATCTAACATGGCTAATTAGCGCGCCAAACCTTCAAGTGTTAAGAATTTCTAACTGTGATGCAATGGAAGAAATAATAGAAGATGTGTGTTGCAGTAGTAGTGATACTGCAATTAGCAGCAGGGAAGGAAGTTTGAGTGTATTCTCTAGTCTACAAAGGTTGTATCTTCTTGAACTACCAAACTTAAAGAGCATTTACAGTCATCCATTGCCCTTCCCCTCTTTGACCCAAATTGTTGTGTCCAACTGTCCGAAGCTCAAAAAACTCCCGTTTGACTCCAACAGCTGTAAAGATACTCTACGATCAATTGACGTCTGTCAGAGACAGTGGTGGGATGACTTGGAATGGGAGAATGAAGAAACTCGCTCTCTTTTCTTTCCACTTTTCAAATGCGTTGGGCTTGACGTCTCGTGATTCTGAGGAAGGGTTGCCTTACATCACAGGTAAATCTCTAGTGTCAAAGTATAAACCTCCTGCATGTTGTCTTTCTGTGCAATACAAACTCCGGAATTCTTTGTTTGCTATATATATATATATATATTCAATTTTTTTCCCCAGTTGATCTGGTTTGTCCCTGTGAAATACTACCATCAATCTGATCAGTAATACATGTTTAGAGATAACTGTTGTTTTGTGGGGTGTACTTGGCGTGGACTCCTCCAAACAAGACTGATTACTCATTTTAAATTTATGCTATAGTCCTTTAATAATTGAATGTAAATCAACTTATGTCAAACTTTAAAAAAGAAAAGATATAGAAGGTAGTTTACCTTAGCTTGGTCATTTGTCAGGCAGGCTATTAGAGAAACGGCGTGGTTTCGTATGCAGATTGCAGCAAACCTGCAGCAAGCTTGACAGGAGAATTTAGGGGGCACCAGACAAGTGAGTCTGCGAGATTTAAGAGAGTTGAAGTTAAGCTGGATGAATGAGTCTACCAAAATTTTACTATGAAAATCAATATCCTGGCTGCCCTATAACAGAGCAATTGTGGATGTATTAACAGTAATTTGCATCAGCATAATATGAAAAAACTGTCAAACCGTTCGGCTCTTATTATCAGCACTTTCCTATGGAGGCCAGTCCACCAGTGGAATACATGCGAACCATATTGCAAAACAGGTTTAGCAAGGGCTGCGCTTGAACCCTCTCCAAGTTTTTATGCAGCCGAGACTGAAAAGTCATGAATTTCAGGCAGTGAAATTGGAAGGAAAGATACCATGTTCACAAAATTCGTCCAGACATTATATGTATTTTTGCAGACTGCAGACTTAATGAGGCAGGAAAAAACAGTGATGACAAAGATCTTGTCTAAACAAGACGCCCAAATATGATCTCAATTCAAATAGCCACTTTAGATGGTTTCCTTGACATTCCTTCTATAGTTTAGGTTAAAAATGTAAGAGTAGAGAGGAATCCCCTAGTCTATTTGGGCATGGCACAAGCTTTTGCTAAGATTACTTGCCCACTAAAAGTAATCCTTTCTGAAAAATTTCAGTTTTCAGGCAAAGTGAACCAGGCTATCCCATAAATAGAGAAAAAGATGCATATGGTGTGTTCAAAATCAAAAAAGAGCACAATAATAGAATTAATAAAAGAAACAAAATGTGCGGGAAACATGAAATAAGCCCTACACCATGCAAAGTTTCCCAACTGCCATATAATATGCAATAATCTCTTATGAAATGTAGAAAACCCGAAAGTTCAAGCTCCAAGTACTTCATTCAGAAGATAACAGAGTAGTGGTTTCTGTTCGTACCAAAATCACAGAATCGCAGAGGTTACAAGAACACCAACAATTGAATCAAAATTGACTAGTTGGCTACACAAACTCCATCAAATCTCCAAAAGCACCACAGATGAATTTCATCATAATTGGTTTGGCACAACGGAACCTGGCATGCTGCTTCTTTCCTTCACTACTGGTTGTGGTTCTGCAAAGAAGAAGAAAATATACGCGTTTACGGGTTTAGTTCCATATGGAAAGGTATAGGCAGAGAAGGATGAATAGGATCTCTTAGACTAACAATAGTGAAATTTTAGTGGTATAGAAACAATAGATTTGTAGATGACCAGAAAGGACATGAACAGAGTTAGAGGAGTCCATTTGAATGAGAAATAATACTTATAATAAATCTAATGCCACAATTAAAGCTCAAACGTCATTTTTAAACATTCAAATTGCATTGGCTAAAACGAAGTAAATCCAGGAAGAAGCAAGTCCAGTTATCTCCGTTAGGGGCCGAATATCATTTTGCACACCGACATGAGAAACACGAGAGCTTTCAGAAACCATATATCAAATCCAAATTTTAGAAGAATCAAATGCACCTTATGAGAATGTCTTTGGAGCTCTGTTGATTCATACAATGAAATAGTAAGAACTAGTTTATCACTTAACTTTAGCTCGCAATCATGCTCGAGCTCATCTAGGCCAGTAATTGGGTTCAATAGAGCTGCTGAGGAGAGGAGTGAATTGGTTTGCAAGCTATTCGATTCGTTTGCAAGTCCTACCTATAGAACAGTTAGAACTCCCTCCAGTAAACTAAAATGTTTGAAGCATTAGATCTTCTGCCTTCACTTTTTATTTGTGGAATGAATAAACTCTCTGAAAGAAGGTTACAATGAATCTACCTTCCATACAAGTCAACAAGATCATCGAACATCATAGGCCACCTTACTTATATCTATTTTAAGTCAAGAATTTAACAGAGGTGATTAAACCATGGGATTGCACTTAGGTTTGCAGAACAACCTAAACCGAACTTTACCGGCCAAGTAAGTAGGCGTCTTCAATAACGAAAGACATCAAATGTTTTGACAGTCTGAAGCTTTTAGTAAGGTGAGTGTAGAAAAAAAAAAAAACACAGCAAGTTCATCTCTTTTGACCCCCTCTTCTCATTTCTCAACTTTTTACTAAAAAAATTAGCAATTTCTACTATAAATACTTCATGTAAACTATCATTACATGTAGTCATAACATGCTGAAGATGGTTGCCATTATTGATGGAATATCTTGAAGCCTAGCATGTTTGCTTACTGGATATTAACGCCTTTGGTCTGGTTTTGAACAAAATGCGGTGCCGAATGATTCCAATACCTTCCAATTCTACCCTCGATGATTCAAGTTCACTGTTCCCCTCAGCATCCGAGAATTTCATTTTCTTCAACACCAACAATGGCTTCTTCAAGGGCACTTTTGCCCCTGTCAATTCGTGATATCCAACAGTAAAAGTGTAAATCTCCTGGAGAAGAAAACAAGAAAAAAGAAAGACTCAGAAAATTTATTAAAGATCTTAAAAAGCAGTAAACAAAAAAAATCCATTTTAATGTTTATATAAACCACTTAATGAAACACCTCTAGCTTCACTTGAAAATTGCAGCTAAATCTAAATTACCTTATACCCCTCGATTTTTCATTATGATTAAAGACAAAAGTCCAATTTTTACAAGTAAGGCCTTCCAAACCAAAACACAATGTATTGAACAATATTATAGAATGCAGTTACGAGTAATCAATGTAAATGCATCTAACGATTGTGATTTAGTGACAATCCTGTTTACAAGCTGTAGATACCTATATCTGCGTGGGTCCCGGAAGAGTCAAGAAGGTCTGGGAATATACCACTCAGCAATATGAAGAATGCAGAAGGGTAGGAAGAAGGGAGAGAAAACCAGTCCAGAAAGAGAATCTTGAGCAATGGTAGGGAAGGAGCTGCCGTCAGTTCTTACCCGTTTCTTTTTGTCACTGCCTCCTTTTTATAGCCCTAGGTCATCCAGGTGGTACATTGTTGGGCCTCCATCTCTAGAGCGGGTCAGAATCATGCATCTTTGGGTCATGCTGCCCTAATCCCTATATTTTTAGATCAACTGCCAAGTGTACCTTTTCTGTTGAATAATCCAAGAATGACAAGCTGTAAAGGCGATTGTACTATTGCAGCTGTCCTTTGCTCTTATCCTCAAACTGGGTCTTGCCTTAGTGGGCAAGACATTACTAATTTTCCATCCTCCATTCCAAAATCCCTTCTACATCCTAGTGTTACTCGAAGAGCCCTACCATAGCTCTTCGTTGCTTGAATAAAGGCTCAAAGCCCATCAATTGATGGTTTGTTGCTACATTGATTCGAGGTTCAAGATATGTCGGTTGTCAAACTGTGATAAGATTAGAGGCCCAAGGCCCGTCGCTCGACAAGCTGTGACGAGGTCGGATAGAGGTTCAAGGCCCGTCGATTGACAAATTGTGATGGGGTTGGATCGAGGTTCAAGGCCCGTCGATTGACAAATTGTGATGGGGTTGGATCGAGGTTCAAGGCCCGTCAATTGACCAATTGTGATGGGGTCGGATTGAGATTCAAGGCCCGTCGATCGACCAATTGTGATGGGGTTGGATCAAGGTTCAAGGCTCGTCGATCGACGAATTGTAATGGGGTCAGATCGAGGTTCAAGGCCGGTCGATCGACAAATTGTGATGTGGATGGATCGAGGTTCAAGGCCCATCGATCGACGAACTGTGATGGGGTCGGATCGAGGTTCAAGGCCCGTCGATCGACAAGCTGTGAAGGCTAGATCGAGGTGCAAGCCCATCGACTGACTACGGAGATTGGCTCGTGGTTCAAGGCCCAGAATCCATCGACCGAATGTTTGGTCCAAAGTTTGAGACCCAACGGTCGACTACTGCTCACCTTGCTGAGGTAGATCTTGTCAAGGTGTTGACTGTTTGACTTGACCTTTGGTGACGTGGCTGAACCACATCCACATTTAGTCCCCCTACAAGTGGCATTTTGAATTTTGAAAATAAAAAAACGGCGCGTGCATAAAGGCGTGGGGATTAATGGTGTTGGAAACTGGTACGGTTTGGTAGTTTGGCGGTTTATGCATTTAATGGGAAAATGATAGGACACGGCTGTTGAGTTTCGTCGTCTTCCCCAAAAAGAAACCCTAATTGTCTATATAAAGGCCTGGTACGGAGACAACAAGAACGTTGCAAACAGAGTAAGAAAGATATAGGGCAAACAAGGAAGTTACGTGGCGCTGTGGCATTTGAGCTGTGTGAGAGTGACAAAGCTATTGAGTGCAGGAGCAGTACGGGTGTTTGAGAAAATGACGAAGAGAAAACAGTTGAGTAAAACCGGTGAACCAGTGCCAGAAGTACCACCGGAAGGGGAATGGAAGCGTGCTCCGTTCTTTAGACCAGTGGTTAGGTTCTGGACGGCGACGGGGGACATGGCCAGAGACAACATTGACAGCGAGGTAACCCAACTGATGGAAGAAGAAGCCGTCGTGGAAACAGGTGCTCGACCGCCGGCGGACTGTGTACACCGGCTTGCCATTGAATAAGGGATGTATCCTTATTGTTTTATTGAGTTCAAGACACCAGTGGGTCCATGTGCAGATTGAGAGGAGTGGTCTAAGCAATTTTCAGCCACACCATGTATGTACAGTGGCTGCGGCAAGCGCGAGTTGCACGAGCCATGCGTTTGTCCCTGAAGTTGAAAGTGCCCCGAGATGGTCCAGGGTTGGAACTATTGGTATCAAGGTGGTGTAGTTCAACACACACCTTTGTGGCAAAGTGGGGGGAGTTTACACCCACGCTGGAGGATGTGGCCCAATTACTTAGGCTACATGTCATCGGTAGGGGGTTTACAGTGCCCCCAACGATGGATGCAGCCGAGAAGGGAATAATGGCTGCGCTGGAAGAGGGGTTGGAGAGGACCAAAAACTATGGGTCTTTTTTCAACACAAAGGGAGCGAGACACGATGAAAGGGCAGAGGGAGCCAGGAAGAGCACAACAGGGGCATGGATACGTTATTGGTTTAAGGATTTGCAGCCATTGTTCAAGGGGAAGAAGTCAGAGCGTCCCTTTGTCGATGGGGACAAGATTGGGCACCTGGCAGAGCTCGCAGCCTATGTACTGTGCTGGTTATCTAAGTATGTATTCCCAGGCACTCCAGATGATGTACCCTTAAGTCGATGGTGCCTAATTGCGGTGAAGATCGCAAGTGGAGTGGTGATCCCCTTGGGGCCATTATTCTTGGGGATATTATACCATCGATTGGACATGATCGCAGAGAATAGTGCACGCTCAGTTGGTCGATACCCCATGGTATCCTATGTGGCGACTGGGTTTTTGCAGATGTATCTGTACGAGCGCTTCCCTGCTTACGGGCCTATCCCGCTGGAGTTAAGCAATCAAGGAGCGCGAGGGAGGCGCTGGAATAGGCGATGTTGTAGAGTACCACTCGGAGAGGTGATCGACTCTGAGCGAGAGTTTGTTTTCAGACCTTACAGGGAGGATATAGCTGGAGTGGCGGACTTGGGGATATACTAGGAGGAGGCCAGGGTGTATACACCAAGAATAGAGTCTGGAGACTCAGATGAACAGACATTTGCCTTAGTGGTGTTGCCAGGCTATTTGCCCGGACGATTTGAGCTTGGCGATGTCCTGAAAATGTACAACCCAAGGTGTGTACCAAGACAATTTGGGTATGACCAAGGGGTGCCGAGAGAGTGTGACTTGGTGGAGAAATATGAAGAACTGGAATAGGCCCTCTTTCGATTCAGTGTGCTGTATAATATGGTAGAAGAGAATGCTGGCAGCATCGTGATTCCTTCACGAAGTCGCCAGGGTGATATTACAGAAAGCTATCGACAGTACTCGATGGACTGTTTGGGCTCGTTCAGGATGTTTTGCTTGCAACTCCCTCATCCATATACCTCGGTAGCCGTATACAAAGATGATGTCTCTCTGCGCATGCCTCGACCAGGAGTACTAGGACACAAGTCGATAATGGCTCCGTTAGCCTCGGAGATAGGTGAGGTGGCATATGACGTTGTACTAGAGGCTATTATACCTAGCACATCAGTCGAGCCAAGGAGTGGCAGGAGGGCTGCAAGGGTGGCTCCGCCCAAGCCCAAGGAGAAAGCTGAAGTGTCAGGCAATGATGAGGATGAGCCAATTGCTAATTTGAGGCGACAAAAATGGAAAGCCTCGGTAATCAACCTATCGGAGGATGAGTTGACGAGAGAGACGGAGGATGTGGTGGAGCTGAGTGATGATGTCTCGCCGAGTGTAGAAAATGTGGTGGAAACGGCGGAGGTATCGAACACTAGTGAGAAGTTTACCGGGGACGTTGAGGCGGCGTTAGCTGCCTGTGGCTCGAAGAGAGATATCGTGAGAAGGCTAATGACAGCCGAGAGCCCTCTGCCTCCCATTTGAATGGCAATAGGTAAGTAGTAGAATAATGATGGTTCGATTTTCTATGTATTGAATTAAAATTTATGCCTTGGGTGTGTTGGTTACAGGACATCGGCCAGGGATTGTAAGGAAAGTACCAATAACAGTTTTGCGTATGCCGCGAGTGGAAGAACCCTCAGTGCCAAGATCGTTGATGCCAATGCTGCTATTAGAGTACCCGACGGACGAGGCGTCCATTGCGAATGAGGAGGAGGTTGTGGAAGAGCAGGCCTCTGAAGACACCGTGAGGCTAGAAGACATGGAGGCCAAGGCACAGGCTGGCCAGCATAGGGTAGAAGTGCTGCAAGCACAATTTTCCTTGGAAGGTTCTAACAGTACATTAAACAGGTGATTATCAGACGAGGAAGCCGAAAGTGGAAAGAATAGTGCGATATGTGAGGTGTTTCCAGTCGAGAGGAGGCAGCAAATGGTATAAACGGCTCAAGCAGTGGTGGCGACAGAGAAGACAGAGGCTTCCTGGTGAGAAGTGATGATTGGGGCACACTTTATCCTATTGTTGGAAGCAGCAAACCGAGCGTAGCCGATGACGGTAGAGGCGATCGAAAGGAGACATCCAATGTTCCATCGCTTTGGGTACGAAGCCTTAGGGCAAGTACTCAAGATATTCACGATGGTGGCACGAGAAGATGGGTCGGAAGAGCTAGTACAGGAGGCCCGCGAGCTAATTGGGCTGCTCAAGGACCGAGTGGAGATAGAATGGCTAGACAGAAGACTGGACGCCTGCGAGCGAGTTGTGGGGCAAGCTTTCTTAGCCAAAGAGATAACGGAGTTAGATGCTCGAATTGCGAGAGATAGGCGGATGATTAAGGAGATCCAGGCTCGCCTAGCGATGGCAGAGCAACAGTGGGCCCTAGTCGAAGAGACATACAACGAACTTGGTGGTGATGTAACGATTCTGCTATCTTATGAGTAGGCAAATGATTGTAAATGAATGGCCATCAGGTCCATAATGTATTATTTTTTGTCATAAAATGAATAAAAGTCGAGCAGTTATGGTAATAGAAATAACAAGTGAGATAGCGAACATGCATATATTACTTGTGATATGGAACTAATGCCAAATACAATAGAAAAAACTAACTATGGTAAAGCTTTAACCAACTAGAATTGATAGGTTTGGCCTTGCGCCCATCGCCTTGCAGTCTGCAGTAGCCACTAGGTTGGACCTCGATGACAACATAGGGCCCTTCCCATTTGGGGGTGAACTTTGGGGCAGAGGTGTTGTGCATAATGTGTCTAGCAGCTTTGAGAACAAGGTCGCCTACCTGGAAGGTACGAGGTCGTACATGCTTGTTATAAGCCTTAGCTAGGGTGTGTTGATAAACCTTCAGATGTTGTCGTGCCAACTCCCGTCGTTCATCTAAGGCCTCGAGATGAGTGAAGTGTTCAACCTCGCTTCGAGTGGCCAAAGTAGCGGCAGGAATGGCAATCTCGACTGGGAGAATAGCTTTTGTGCCATATAAGAGAGAAAAAGGAGTTTGGCCTGTGGCGCGTTTCTTGGAGGTGCGATGGACCCAAAGAGCTAACGGCAGCTGATCGACCCAATTAGATTGTGCTCGGCGACCGTGCGATTGAAGATTTTAAGGAGAGATTTGTTGGTTGCTTCGGTTTGGCCGTTGCCTTTGGGATAGTAAGTAGAAGATCGGCGCTGTGTGATATTATATTGCTGAAGAAGCTGAGCAACCAGATAATTGACAAAAGAGGTGTCATTGTCTGACAGAATGATCGCTAAGATGCTGAACCGGCAAATGATGTGTTCACGAATAAAGGCTGTAACAGTGATACCTGTGGCATAGCGCAAAGGGATAGCTTCAACCCATTTGGAAAAGAAATCTGTAGCCATGAGGATCCAATGTATTTGACGAACTGTAGCGTTGATTGGGCCAATGAGATCCAGGCCCCAAGTGTGGAAGGGCCAAGGGGCAGCAAGTGGATGAAGTACTGTTGGGGGGGTATGGATCCGATGGTGATGGTATTGACATGGTTGGCACTGTTGAACGAGCACCTTAGCATCGCGCTCCATAGTTGGCCAATAGAGCCCTTTGTGGATCAAGTGTTGAAACAATTTATATGCACCCTGATGCTCGGGGGAGTGGGCTTGATGAAGTGCTTCGCGGATCTCAGCACCAGCAAGGCATCGCAAGAGGTTCCCTTCGCGAGAGAGGCGGAAGAACCGACCATCGCAAACTTGGAAGCGTGGTGCTTGGTGCTTGAGCTTGGCGGCCAAGGTTGGGTCATCCGGGCGCTGACCATGTTGAAGGTATCGAATAAATGAGGTTTGCCAATCAGCCAGCTCGAGCTAGAGGACTTCAGCTTTATCAGGGCATTTCTAGCAAGCGACACATGCGCGCTGCAACGCAGCGGCCTGACTGGACATTTGAGGCCAGTAATAGCCTTGGCGCTGGAGCCGTCGATAAAGAGCGATATTAATAGTGGCATAGTGCTGCTGGTGAACACGGTGAAGAACTTCACTGGCCTCTGCATCCCCTAGACAGCGACTGAGGATGCCAGAGGGGGATCGATGATAAAGGACTCCCTGGATCAGATGAAAGCGTTTGAGCTGAGCAAGAGGTAAGGAACCTGTTAAGGTTTGCATTTGATCAATAATTGGACGGCGCCAATCGGTAAACTCTTCAGGAGGGAGCAAGCTAGCGATGGCAGGCTACGTTTGTTTATGAACAATGATCTGTTGGGCAGGGCCAGAGATGTCAAGTTTAGATACGAGCGTGGCAAGAGCATCGGGGTATCGATTGAAAGATCGAAAGATATGAGTCAAGCGAACGGTGGTGAACCGAAAGAGAAGCTTTTGAATGATTGTACGATACGAGGCTAAAGAGGGCTCGCGAATTGCGAACTCACCTAAAGTCTGTTTGACAGTCAACTTTGAATCGCCATCTATGCATAACCGGGAGATTTGCTTGTCGAGTGCTGTTAATAGCCCCAAGATGAGTGCTTTATATTCAGCTTCGCTGTTGGTGCATTTGAAGTCAAGTTTGACAGCAGCGGTGGAGGTGAGGGTCGGGCAGGAGAACACGATGCCCGCGCCTCCGCCCCTCGCTGTGGAAGAACCATCGAAAGACAAGTGTCATTCCTGAGCTTGCTCAAGGGAGGCGACCTATAGGTCGTTGAGGGGTAGCTGTTCATCCACCGGCTCGTGAGTTTCATTGGGGAATTGAGCGAGCAAATCTGCGAGGGCTTGACTTTTGATGGCCTTAGGCTGCTGGCAGGTAATATCAAATTTTGCTAGGGAGAGGAGCCATCGTGTGGCCTTACCTATAAGCATAGGTTTGGAGAGGAGGTGCCTGTAGGGATCGCATTTAGTGAGGAGAATGATGCGATGGACGAGGAAGTATTGCCGGAACTGATGCTCGGCAAAGACCAAGGCGAGACAATGCTTTTCAATAAGGGAATACCGTTCTTTAGCATCACGGATCAGGCGACTAATGTAATAGACCGGGCATTTTTGATTATTGACCTCTTGTGCAAGCAGTGCCCCAATGGATCGAGGTGTGGAAGTAACATATAGGAAGAGGGGCTAGTCTTTTTGCGAAGCATGCATGATCTGTGGGGACAATAACACGTGCTTGATCCGCTCGAAGGCCACCTGATGAATGTCTGTCCAAGAGAACTTCGTTTTCCCTTTAACAAGGGTACTAAAGGCATGTGTTGCCTCAATGAGGGCTGGCAGGAATCGACGAAGATAAGAAACTTTGCCTAAGAAGCTTTTCAGCTGCTTGGAAGTTGTTGGAGATGGCATGTCAAGAATCGCTTTGGACTTAGCTGGATCAACTTCAATACCCTGGCGAGTGACCATAAAACCCAAGAATTTGCCATGGTTAACACCGAAAGCACATTTGAGGGGATTCATTTTGAGATTATACTGGCGGCAACGCTTAAACACTTGGCGTAAGTCATGGAGATGATTGGCTCTTTGTTTGGACTTAACGACCAAATCTTCCATATAATCTTCAAGATTGTGATGAAGTAAATCATAGAAGATAGCAATCATGGCTCGTTGGTATGTGGCACCTGCATTTTTCAAACCGAAAGGCATGACAGTATAGTGGAAATTA